CGAAGGCTGTGCTCTTTGATCTTCATCAGTAAATGTTTTAAGTCCTCTTCACTTTAAGCATCGTTAAATTCCCAGGATCCTCTGTTCTTGAAGGGATAGACTAAATGACTGGTACCATCGCCCTGCAAAAGTGTCTTGAACTTGACATAACTTATACTGAGAAATTAAACAAATAGTTTTATCTTTTAAAAAAATCAATGTGCACAAACTGTGGTGTTGGTGAGCAAATCAGTATTAGAAAAAATAAAACCAGAGGAAAAGCCAGATGAAACAGATTCTGAGGATGGTCCTGGAACTCTGAGCTTCAGATAAAGGGATAAATGAGTAGATTAAGTGCTTACCGGGAGAAAGATTTGAAGCTGAGGCGAGGAAGAAAGGTGAATTCTGATTTGGGGTGGCTAGTGTGTTCTGCCACAACCATTTTTAATGGGAGTGGGTGGATTAAGGGACAAGAGAGAACTTCCATTTCAGAAACCTGCCTACAACTTAGAGACAAAGGTGCAAAGGTTTTTTTTCCCCCCTTTTCCTTTTTGTTTTCTCTGTCTACTCATTTACCCTCTGGTGACCAGAGGTGAAACCCACAACTGGGTACAGAGTCAAAGGGGAAGGAGACAACAGAAAGAGCTGGTGTCAGCAGTTTCTTTCAAATAGGTCTGGCCAGCACTGAGCTGGTTCTCACTAGGAGAAACAGCTGCATGGACTGGAGGGGAAGGAAGAAAGCTGGTGTGAGATCAGAGAGGCACAAGGGAACATCGTAAAATTTCTCAGGCAGCTTTGAAGGCAAGAGTTCATTGTTGTTGCTGTTGTTAAGTGCCATTGAGTCCGTTCCGACCCATAGTGACCCTGTATAGGGTTTCCAAGGAGCAACTGGTGAGCTTGAACCACCGACATTGTGGTTCAAACCAACTTTACAGTCCAGCGCATTAACCCACAGCGCCACATCATTAGGTAGCACTAAAGAATTACTCTTATTTTCCCATGGCTGCTTTGTGGCAATGTTTTATTAATCATTCATTTATTTAAATTTTTTTTTTCTGTTTCCTGTTTCATTATCTTTCTATTGTTTTTTTTTTCTGGGCTTTTGCCGCTTTAGTTTTTAATACTGCTTTTTGGGGTTCTCTTTTTATCTTGTGGGAGTGCTTTCTTGCCTTGCCTTGCCTTGCCTTGCCTTGCCTGAAAGGAGACAGCAACTGTGGCCAAACACCCAAAAAACAGTTGCACCCTCTAAAACCCCACCACTTGGGTGAGAGCCAATACCAGTTGCCATACACCAGCATCTACAGCTAACGCCTGCTAAAATCACTCTGAATTGAGCTTCATGAACTGTGAACAGAGAAGTGCATCTCCTGATCACACCTACCAAGAGGCAATTAATTAGAGAGTGCTTAAGAATACACCAACATAAATTCATCTAATTAATACAAATATAACAACATTATAGTGCCAAAAATGCAGCAGAAATTTTATGCTCATATGCAAAAATGAGACATAATAGCTCAAGCAAATGACCAAGAGGAAGAGTTAGAATTTGCTTTTGAGGGAATAGAGGCTTTGGAACTACCTGAAAAAGAATTCAGGGGAATGATATTGAGGTGCCTCCAAATGTTCCACAGAAATATCGAGGAAAATAAGTCAGAAAAGCACTGTAGTAACAATCAAACAAAATAGATCTAGCATTGGAGACAATATAAAATGTGCAAACAGAAGTCCACATGATCAGTGCTAAAACATCAGAAATGGAAAATACACTGAAAAGGCAAAGGAGTGCAATTGAAGTGATGGAAGTTGGAATTAGTAAGCTTGAAGATAAATCTCTGAATCCTGCTAAGATAGAAGAATACTCAGAAAAAATCTGAAGAAAGCATAAGATTCACATGGGACAACATGAAAAGGAATAATCTATTAGGTGAATGGAATTCCAGAACAGGAAGAAACTAAGTAAACTACAGAAAAGGTAGTCGAAGTGTTGCTGGAAGAAAATTTCCTTAACATCTTGAAAGACAGGAAGAAAAGCATTCAAGAAGCTAAATGAATCCAAAGCAGGAACAGACCCAGTAGAAAAACCACCAAGACATAACCATAATCAAACGTTCCAAAAAAAAAGAATCCTAAAAGCAGCTAGAGAAAAAAGGTAATGGGGAGACATATACAAAACAGAAAGAAAAAGACTGCCAACCAAGAACATATCATATATTCAAGAATATATCATATATCCAGCAAAGCTGCCAATCAAATATAACTGTGAAATCAGAATGTTTCAGGATAAACAGAAATTAAGGGATTTTGTAAACCCAAGCCAGCACTTAAAAACATACTAAAGGGAGTTATTTGGACTGAGAACCAACAAGAGCAGACAACCACTAGAAATTGACATATGTGGCAACACTACCCAGAACTCAGTCCATATATAGAATTGTCCAGAGCAGCAAAACTACAAGACTGAAAATAGGGGATCTGGGAGGTCAGTGTATGATCAGAACAAGTACAAAGGGAAAAAAGGGAAAAGAATAGTAACAGAGATCCAGGTAGTGAGGAGGTCAGGTAGAATTCAGAATAAAACAGATGGCTTTAAAAGGAGGAAGAAATTAATAAAGCACAGGGTAACCTCAAAGAAACTTACTACATCTTCACATCAAATCAAGAAAAGGAAAAACCAAGAAGATTTTGGAAATATTAAAAATGATGAGAAAGCTGACAAGAAAAAGCACAAAAAGAAAATGAACACAGCACAGGAAAGCACGCAGATAAAAAGAAAACGGCAGCAACACAGGCTAACTCCTAGTCAGTCTTGTAGACATAGTGGGATATGTTCAGAAAGAATACCTAACCCATTTGGCTCTGGGAGAGGAGATGAGGAGAAAGTGGTACTACACAAAGTCTAAAAGACCAACTAGGAGTTAGCCAGGCAGAGAAGGAAACAGGGCATAGATCAGGATGTGCAAAAACAGGGTAAGAGAGTGTGCCTAGGTACAGAGAATTACAACTACAGATTGTTCAAGAGCTGGTGTGGCGAAGGCAGAGGTCATACAACTACAACAGCAGCCATTTGCTGAGCATTTACTATGCACCAGGGAACAGACGGCACATTATCTTAACAGTCTTTTAAACTGGATGCTGTTAATATCCACATTTGCAGATGGAGAAACTGAGGTACAGAGAGGCTAAGTAACTTTATTTATTTATATATATATATATATATATATATATATATATATATATATATATAAGTTTTTATTGTGAATTGAATGATAGTTTACATGGGAGAACATCGGTTTTATACTCATCATTTCATTACAATGATTACAGTCTCCTCCGTGCATCATTGAACAGTATTTGCTTCTATCCCCTCTGTTTTTTGTTTTTTTTTGGAGGGGGGATATACACAAAAACAGTTAGGAGTATATAATCATTTAAACAATTTAAGGGCACATTCTGCAAGCCTGAGGCTAAGTAACTTTTAGAAGATTACACAGGTAATGATTACTAGGGAAAGAGCTAAACAGATGGGATTCGCCTCAGGCAGCATGGTGGTAGTGGTAGAACTGACTCATAGTGACCCTGTATAGGGTTTCCAAGGCTGTAAATCTTTACAGGAGCAGAAAACCTCGTCTTTCTCCTGCCAGGCCACATGGTTGTTGTTGTTGTTATGTGCTGTGAAGTCAGTTCCGACTCATAGTGACCCTGTATAGGGTTTCCAAGGCTCTAAATCTTTACAGGAGCACAAAGCCTCATCTTTCTCCTGCAGAACATCTAGTGGATTCGAACTGCTGACCCTGAGGTTAGCAACCTGACTCATAACCAGTATGCTACCAGAGCTCCTTAAGGCCACGTGGTTGTTGTTGTTATGTGCTGTGGAGTCGGTTCTGACTCATAGCGACCCTGTACAAAGGTTTCCGATGCTGTATATCTTTACAGGAGCATAAAGCCTCATCTTTCTCCTGCAGAGTGGCTGGTAGTTTTGAACTCCTGACCCTGAGGATAGCAGCTCAATTCATAACCACTACGCTACCAGAGCCACGTGGTAGCCTGTTTGATACACCTAAGGCTTTTGGAGCACAGTCTCCCAACTTTTCCCTGCTCATGACTCTTATTCCCTCCCACAGGTGGAAGGACAGTCTAGAGCCCACGTCATCGCACAGGAATTGCTGTCTTCAGAGAAAATGTGAGTCCCCAAGAAGCTGCCTGTGGCTCTGAGCTTGTAAGCAAAACCTTACCCCTCCCAGGCTTCTCCAGGATGGGGATTCATGCAGACTCAATCCTCTCTCCCTACAGATACGTGGAGATGCTCCAGCACTTACATCTGGTGAGTTCATCATTTTAATTGTCCAAATCTAATTGCTCTTTTACAAGGCTGTGATATAAGAAGCAGGAAAGTAATGAGGAGACAGAGGTGAATTCCACTGGCAGCAGGCAAGTGTTTACTGAGGATTTCAGGGAAGCCTCTCTCTCAGTTAATACACTTTGTCAGTGGGGAGATGAATAGCACTGAGCTTCCTGTGGATTTGCCTCATGTGCTGAGGTTTCTGGAAGGATGTTTAAGCATTCCTCAGCCCAGTTGTTGAGGAAAGTGAAAGGAGAATCCATGGGTAGTTCTAGGCCATTGCTCTGCGTTTGGGTTAGGGTCATAGGTGAATGTACATAGGTGTTCATTGTTTGTTTAGGTCATATGGAGAAGATGGTGTGTTTGCACACTGAGAGAGTAGCTGGAGGAAAGCAAGAAGGTTTACCCATTCACCCCAGAAATGAGGAATCAATTCTCCAGAATTTTCAGAGAATAAGAGGCCAGGCTTGGGAATGGACTGAAAAAATAGGCAGAGTGACTCCCACTAGGCACTGCTCCCCTTCACAGTTCAAGAAGGTCTCCCTTTACAGCCAACACAATTCAGTTCAACAAGCAGGAGCTGGAGCCCTCTGGCCAGGGACTGCAGATCCACAAAGGGAGTGGCTGACCCTGTCAGGAAATTGAGCAGGCTTCCCTGACAAAGTGACATTTGGGCTAAGCCACGGGGAGTGGTGAGGAAAGAGGGCTCTTATGCAGAGGGAAGACAGAGATGGGGATGTCCACTCTGGACATTTTATACATGCCGATATGCAGGCCTGGTGGGAGCCATGGAGCTCACCGGTAAAATTCTTGCCTTCTATGTGGAGAACTGGGTTCAATTCTCAGTCAGTGTACCTCATGTTTTATGATGCTGGACAGGTTCCAGGCAAAGACAGACCAACAAGAAAGGCCACCCGCTTCCAAAAACTAGCCAGTGTGGCTCACAGTGGTCAGATATGTGTGGGTATGGTGCAAGGCCAGGCAGTGTTTTGTTCTGTTGTGCATGGGGTTCGCTGTGAGTCGAGGGCCAACTGGACAGCAACTAACAACAGCAGCATCAGTATGGAGACTCTGAGTGACCTGGGGGCAGAACCTTCTCTGGGTACACCAGAGTTCCCAGTGCCACGCCAGACCTCTTGCTGCATCCAGCCAAGGCCCACTCTAGTACCTACATGCTGGTACCACATTCTCAGGTGAGCAGAGAGCACCAGGCCCCAGGGAGAAGGCAGAGCACTAGCCTGGCCTGGGACTCCTAGTCCCACATTTTACCATCACTACGCATGGATTATTAAACTCAAAAGCCCATGGGTGTGCAGTGTCTGAGTCACCCCACTTGATGCCTTGAAAGCCCACCTAGCAAAGGCAGGACGTTGCTCTCCCATTTCTCCCTCTCACTCGCTCTTTAGGTGACAGTGTGACAAGGAACTGGGCTTTCTTGTATGATTTTGTTAGGAGGGTCTTAACTGGAAAGTGTCCGTCTGTGTTTGCACTGCGTGCTGACAGTTGGAGAGATGCTGCTAACCCATAGTAATACTACCCTGAGGAGAGGGGAAAAAGAAGGAGCCCATCAAAATCACAGCTCATAAGCTAACTGCGGGAAATTGTGGTCTGGAGCTATAGTATGACATCAGCACTTATGGGATGGAGATGGCAGGACTCCTTCAATGTGACCTCAGGTCTGAGCCTGAGACACTGATCTTAAAGGAAACCCATGGACTTTGGGGCATTTCTTCCATTTCTAACCTTGGATCCATTCCTGGTTGCTAAAGTTGCAGGGCCTTACCCAAAATCTCTCCTTAGAGATTTGAAACTATTGAAATCCTAGGCTGCTTATGATGGGGAGGGGCCAGCTTTGCATTCTACACCTCCCCGATGCTGTGGGGTGGGGTGGAGAGGGTAAGTGGCTACTTGGTCTTTGATCTTCTGTGTTTGGATTCCAATTCTGTACTTGGCTTAAAGATAGAGTTAACTATCTTGAGGTAACTCAGGAAATGCTAAAAATTCTAGTCATCCAAAATTGAATCCTAATAGTCAAGTTCCTGTTTTTGTACAGCCTGTTAACTCAAAGTCCTGGTGTGGTGCTGTGAGTTAATGTGCTGGACTATAAGGTTGGTTTGAACCACAAGGTTGGCGGTTCAGCTCACCAACCACTCCTCGGAAACCCTACACAGGGTCACTATGAGTCGGAAATGACTCAATGGCACTTAACAACAGCAATAACAAATAAAAGTAGTTTCCACATTTGTAAAGGGTTGTGGAAGAAAAAGGGAACAGTGTTTGTCCCACAAAGCCTAAAATATTTACTGTCTGACCTTTTAAAACTGATTCCTGGTTTAAAGACTCTCGTCTGTCCTTTCAGGTATGGTGTATAGATACCTTGAAGCCCCACTTTCTTATCTTTCAGGAATACCGCTATCCATCTGTTCATATATTTAGATGATTCATGTCTCACCCACCCATCTAACTAGCCATCCATCCACTCATCTGTTCTTCATCTATTCTTGTACCTAATAATACATCCGTGCGCCCATTTACCCCCCTACTTATCTACTAAATTGTTTGTACATCCACCCATCCATGCATCCACCCACACCTCCACCCACCCATCCATCCATCCATCCATCCATCCATCCATCCATCCATCCATCCATCCATCTACTCATCTACTTGTGTATCCATTTACCCAGCTTCTCCATTAACTCCATATAAAACATCACAGGATGTTTTTAGTGCTCTAGGTATGGAGATGTGGTCCTGGTGTGTCACTGTACGTGGTTCAAACCTATCAGGCACTCCTCAGAACCCCCCCATCCATGGTCACTCTGAGTCACAATGGACTCAGTGGCACACAGTAACAACCACCAAGATATCGAGCTAGGCCTCAGGGCCTCAGAGATGACTAAGGCCAGTAACCCACCCTTGAGTTGTTGTGTTGTTGTTGTTAAGTGCCATCAAGTCAGTTCTGACTCACAGCGACCCTGTATAGAGTTTCCAAGGAACAGATGGTGAGCTTGAACTGCTAACTTTGTGCTGCAAACTGACCTTGCAGTCCAGTGCTTGTGCTATAACTCCAGGTCTCTTATTTTGCAGGCTGGGTTGGTGGAGGGTTCCAGGGAGGATTGAGACAGGAGGAGAAATAGGCCGGTGAACAGACAGTTATGCCTCTCTGCGTAAATATAATTTTTTTCAACTATAGTTTTATGTGGAATCCTAGTGTGGCACTGTTGGCTAATGCGTTCAGACTGCAAAGTCATTTGAACTGCAGACTCAGTGGTTCAAGCTCACCAGCTACTCCTTGGAAACCCTATACAGGGTCGCTATAGGTTGGAATCGACTCGATGGCACTTAACAACAACAACAATAGTTTTATGGAAAAGGTGCCCTTGTAGCATTGTGGGTTACAGGTTGGGCTGCTGACACAAAGTCAGCAGTTCAGGTCTACCAGGTACTCTGCAAGAGAAAGATGAGGTTTTCTGCTCCCGTAAAGATTTACAGCCTTGGGAACTCTAGGCAGGGTTGTTGTGAGTTAAAATCGACTCCACAACACACCACCACCATAGTTTCACATGAAATATGCAGCCGCCTGGAGGAAGACTGGGGTCCCCTCCTTGGGGGTCTGCAGGAAAGTTGGCAGAAGAAGTGCCATTGAGGTGAACTTTGAAGGAGGTCACCAGGCTAGGGGAGTACTACAGGGGACACAAGTCAAGATGGCCTGAAAGTACATGGCATGTTTGGAGAATGATGCTTTGTCAGATATGGGTAGAACAGAGATACATTTAGAAAGGCAAGTTGGAGATACATGTACACATCCAGGGATTGGTCCAAAAACAAGATTGGGACCAAGTTGCATATCAAGAATTTGGAACAGATATGGTTTATAGAGACACCTTAAAGCCTCTACTTTATCTCAAAAAACAAAACAAAAAAAACCTGTTCCCAGCAGTAGCTGAAAATTTCTACAATTGGTCTCTCCTTTGGACTATTGAAGACTATTCAAAAGCCTGTTTGCTCACTGAGAGAGGTAACCCTGGAAGTGTTATCGCTGATACCCTGGGAGAAAGTCCTCGTCCAGGGGGCCCTATGCAATCTGACCCCTGTCTGTCTCTGAGCATCACCTTCCACCACTTTTGTCTTTACTTCAGCGTCCTTGCTGTTCTCCAGATTCTGCAAATATGGTCAGACTTCACAGTTTCGGTACTTGCTCTTCCCTTTGGCATACCCCTTAGTCGTTCGTTTCCTTCTCCTCATTCAGGTCTCAACTCAAATGTCACCTCCTCAAAGTAGCACCCCAAAACTTAGTAGAACCACTTCACCATATTCATAGATTCTTTGGGTCAGGAGTTCTGGCAGGGTACAGTGGTGAGAGCTTTCTCTGCTCTGTGAAGTCTGGAGCCTTAGGCCGAAGGTTCAAAGCCAGCAGTGGTGAGCTCTAGAATTACCTAGAAGTGCCTTCACTCACGTAACTCATCAGTGGTCCAATTGACTGAGGCCTCAGTGGGGCTGTTGGTCAGAACACTTACATTTGGTATCTGCATGGAGTGGTTTGGGCTGCCCCACAGCAGTGTAGCTGGGTTCTAAGATCAGGCACCCCCAAGAAAAAATAAGGAAGAAGTATGTGCCATTTTTAGGGCCTGGTCTCAGAAGTCCTGTAGCCCCATTCTGCCAAACTGTGATGGTCAAGGCAGTCCCCCAGGTTGAAGGAAAGGGGACATACACTTCCCCATTCAACAGGAAGAGTATCAAGGTCACATGGCTTGAAGAGCATATGAGAGAGCCCTTTGAAAACATGTTGTTGTGGCCATTCTGGGAAACCAGTCTACCACTAAAGTGTTTCCTAATAATTCTCTATCAATTAAGAATTGCATTTGCCTGCTTAGTAACAAAGACCCAGTTCTGGTGACTTAAATAGCTCAGAGATGATTCTCTAATGTGAAGGAAATCAGAGCTAGGAAGTCCAGGTCATAGGTAGCTCTGTAGTCTTA